AAATTTGACAAAACTGATCATATACAAACATATATATATATATATATATATAATGAGACAAAACTGATAACATACAAACAGATCCATATATATGCATGTAACTTTCATCTCTAAATTCGAAAATCAATGCAACTAAACTAATCATTATATATACAAACAGATTCATGACAGTAATTAAAAAACGCTACTAATGTACTGATTAGAAAATTTTGATCACGAGCCTCTATTAAACCAGTGTTCGTATTTAATAATTTTATTTAAATTTACATTTATTATTTATGCAAGGATAATGAAAAATAATAAGTTCTAAAATTACGAGTTCTGATACCACATGTAAACTCTAATTAATTTGTGTTAGACTTTAATCACAAATAATCATAAATCCTTAGATCTTAAAATTTCAATTAATTTCACATCCTTATAACGCATATAAATATATATAGTTAAATATACATACCTCGATTCGTGATATCAAACATTGTTGAGATTAAATCCAACGTCTAGATCATTTAACCATGAACAAATCTGTAACTCTAATCAACAGGCAAAGGTGAAGACTGGTTTTTCTCTCTTGGCCTTTTGCACACATAAAACTTTTACGTATTGTATCATTAATTGTACATAATTGATGGAATATATGCACTTTTATAATGCAGAGAGATGACCAGTTTTTCTTATTAATAATCTAATTCCACTTTCCATCAAAGTAAGTAATAAGAAAGGAAAACATTTCTTCAATTGATATCTATTTACTTAGCCACCAAGTAATATGTTACATGTCCAAATCATGTGGGCCACAATTAAATAAATAATCTTACACATGTATGTGGATCTGATTATAAATTGATTATTATATCTTAAGAAACAGTAGATTTTGAAAAGAAATTCATAGTAATTTGAGAACCAAAAGAGATTGAGATTGATATAGAAGTTTGCAAAAAAATTGATAAATTCAATCAAATGAAAAAGCCGTGAATATTTATACATTTTGGATACTAAATACTCACATGTACTTTTCATAAATTGTCCACTATCAAAATTGAACCTATGTGATTTATCACGTAATTTGTGAATTTTATAAATAAATAATTAAATTTAGTATTGCATTCATCAAATATTCAAATATGAAGAGAAATCATAAATTAATAATAATTTCAAAAATAAAAGAAGTTTCAAAATATAAAAATGTATATGGAAAAGAAAAGTCCTGAACATTATTCATATACTTACTTAGTATAGAGGTATGGACCTAAACCAAACCTTTTGAGATAGTGATAATAACACACACCCCAAAAACCTAAGAGAAAAAACAAAAAGAAACAAGTAATTAAAGAATGAACGCTATAGACGGCCTCTATCCAACACCTAACAAAATAATGGCCTTGATAAATCAAAGTACAACTTCTAGCTAAAACCACGGCCACAACCTTCTCGTGACACAGACTCATCATCAATAGAGGGTGTCCGTGTCCCTCCATAACCATGCACCAGTGCCCAATCACGGAGGGATCTCTGTGTCAACCTTATATGTGTGTGTGTGTGTGTTTCAACGTGTGCGTGTGTGTGTGTAGCACGTGCCCATTAAAGTTGATCGGAATGAACTCTAAAGTAATGTCCCTTGCCCAGAAAAAGAAAAAGAAAACCTTTAAAATTGTCAGAGCCTCAAAGTAAGCACTAAATTTGCCTTTGGCCCACCAAAACCCATAGTTTCATTGAAATTGCTTCTCAAAACAAAAAAAAAATAAAAAAAAATAAAAAAATAAAAATAAGGTTTATAATGCAACGTGGATGTTATTGTTGGAAGGTTTAAATTGATTTTAATTATCTCCACAACCAAAAAACATAAGAGCTTTCTAAGTTAGATATACCATCAATCCTATCTGAATCTCCATTGAACAATTTTTTAAAAATAAATAAATAAATAATCAGTAATAAATGTAAACCATTTTTTCATAAGACCATACGTGTTATGATGTAGTTGAATCTTGATGTGGATATGTAGACTCTTTTCCAATTGGGTGGGCAATGATTAATTTGGAAAAGCTTGGCGTGCCAAGTTTCAATAAACTGATTGCTCCATTTCAAATAATTGTGCATGGCACGTGTACTCTCTTTTATTATTATTATTTTTTGGCGTGTGAAGAAGATTTATAACGTGTCCTCTCTTTTTTGCGTGTTAAAACTTTAGATCTTTTAATGATCAATAATGTTACCAAGAGAGAACAAGAGCATAAACTCATATAATTGTTAATTATTGGATTGAAATATATTGTGTGAAAAAAAAACTCTCCTATATAAAAAATTACAAAAAACACACTTGCATTTTAATTTCTATATATAAATTTCTAATATTTTAAGATATATACAAATTGTCCATTAATCATCAAATTTAACTTAAAATATTATTAATAATCAGATTTTTATAAAATCTATATTTTTTTAAACGGTATTTGAAGTATTTTGATCTTCAAATTGATAAAATATCTTTATTGGTTCTATTTTTTTTTTTTTCGGCACTTTACCCATTTTATATTTTTGAAAAATCAAACAAATTTCTTAATAAATCTATTGCCAATAAAAAGGATTCATGACTTTTATTACAAGAAAGCTTTCTTAATAAAATTACTTTATTTGCTTCCATGCAAGAATCAAGATAAACTTCAATCACATTATCAACTTAGAGATAGAGAGAGAGAATTCTTAATCAAGGAGTACCATATCCATCCACAACTCTTCCACCTACTCTTTTTCAAAGAACTTTCCCCCCTTAAATGTCTACAACCAAATTAACAGTATGCTATAATTGCTATTGCAACTCCAATCTAAATGTACGTTATATAAAATTATAGTTATCTGAAAATATGTATTTTTATAATTAAATTTTTAAAAGACGAAACCAAACAGAATATTTTTTGTACAATTTTTTGTTTTCAATTTTCTAATAACAGAAAACTATTTTTATAATTACAACTAAGCATATTCTTAAACTATATTAAAAAAAAATATGATTTGTTTTCAAAAGAAATAGAAACACACACATACATAGTTTTTGATAATTGTATGAATCTTGAAAGTTGAAATACACATGAAAATAATAAAGTAGAAGTGGAAATGATTTGACGGAAAAAAAAAAAAAAAAATGGTATAATTTAATATGGTTGTGTTTCATGAAGAGACTAGCCAAAAAGATGTAATGTTGGAAATTGAATTATTAAGAGAGTCTGTGCAGGTGAAATAACACCACTAACACAAAAATTCTGATGGGTGGGGTTAAAAAGCAGAACCACTACCTTGACTTTTCAAAGTGATCAACCAACAACCCTCTTTATTTTGTTTGGACACTGTCTCTGTGTTGTTGCTCCAACCAAAAAAGGTCAAATGAAGCCAAAGGACTGGACTACTATGAGTGCCAATAAGTTCAAAAGAAGCCAAAGACTAGACTGCTATGAGTGCCAATATTATTTTATAGCATTCGAAAGAAATCATGAAGGGTCAAATGGTTGGTAACTAACATGTACAAACAAATGATAAAACTTGATTTGTGGATCACCATAATTAGTCATAATACTTGTTGAATCATAATCAAGACTTGAAAAACACATATACATATATTTAAGAAGAACAAAAAAAAGTAATGATATTAATCAAGTCAAAAAACCAATAAATTACGTGCCAACCATTAGTGCGGGTCTCATACGGTCATATGATTTTGTGTTACTTCTCTTTCGTATTAATTAGCCTGACTTAATTGTTCGTATTTAGTGTCATTTTCATTGAGAAAATTACAAGCTAGTCCTATAGGTAATTAAAGCAAAGAACCATGTCATGAGTTATGACCACTTGATCTAAATTTTTTTTTTTTTCTTTTTTTTTTTTTCCACCATTCATTTTGATTGACAAGATAGAAGGACAAGAACCATCTCGATGATTAATACAAATTAATCAACAACTAATATAAGATGTATTAAAGTAGTGCTGTACGTATTTAAGGCATATTGTGAGTATATATTATATATAAACTGCATGAATCCCCACAACATTTGTTTTTTCTGCACATATATTCCTTGAAGACCCTTGTCATTTGCATATTGTTATAGAATGGACGGAATAGTATCACGTCCATAACACATGTGATTTTAAGTTGTAAAATTTCTATAATATTAGAGTAAATTGTGGATAAAAAAAAAAAAAAAAAAAAAAAAAAAAACCTCTCCAACTTTTACGACTTTTTAGATTATCCTCTTAACTTTTGTTTTTACACATAACTCCCTTAAAGTATTAAGAAATGCCGTCCTTAAAAGTTGAGGTTTTTCTTTTGTAGTTATGGTCAAGGGTAAAATGATAAACGTAGCATTTTAATAGATTGAGGCAAGTGACTATTTGCATCAGTAAGAGATATTTTTGTAAATCCTTAAAAGTTGAGAGGTTTTTTTATTTTATTTTCTTTTTGCTTTTCAATATTATATTCTCTAGCTTGTTAATGTTATGTAATTTCTGAAAAAAAAAAAAAAAAAAAATTCTGATGAGCCTAAGGGAGGCCAGGAGGAGCTTCCCCTCCCAATGATTGGCTCGCACAACTGGGTCAAGAATGATTCCTACCTAAGCTTGACCAAGATCCCTTACAACCTGTAAGCCACAAAATATATAGTATCTTACCCTTTTTTCTTTTCTTTTTTTTTTTTTTCTCATTTTTTTTCTTTTCCCTTTTTTTTTTTTTTTTTAATGTTTTGAGGGGTTCAGTGTTAACCCTAAATATATATATATATATTTATAAAAATAAAGAATGAAAATAAAATAAAAAAATTGTCACATTTTCGTGTATTGTGCATGATACGTGACATCCAACTACTTGAATAAACCACAGCCACTAAAAGAGAGACCATTACACAGCCAAATCCAGGTCATAAACATCTTTTAAAAAAAAACCTAATAAATCCAAAGCGCGCTCCCAACCCACCAACCACTGAATGGAAATAAATTAAAAAGCTAGGCTGGAGAAAGAACTCATGAACCAGTCATTCTTTATTGTCAAACATTGACATTTAGAAAAAAAAAAAAAAAAAAAAAGATCGAGAGAAGGAAAAAGATTAATTATCGTGGGAGAGAGAATGTTATGTTTGGTGTTGCAGCCATTGCACTCCACAAGCAAATTAACCCTAATTCGTGGCATCAAAAGAAGTCACATGACTATATATATTAGAAAGTAAATAAGCATGGTCAAGCCCAAAATCATGTGACTTCATTTGATGTCGCAAATAGTAACCAGTTCACTCAGGTGTGGTAGATATTTGGCATGCACTTGTACGTTCAGCACAAATCATTCAACCCTAGCCCGGAATCAAAACAAATTCACCAGAAATTCGATATGATAATCATCGGGCCCATAGGTGGAATGGTGATGGTGATTGTAGGGCAGCCATCCTCTTTTGATGCTTCAAGTCCTTGTAAAACTTCTTTATGAACTCTTCAGCTTTCTTGTCCACTTGACCATCATCCTTATCATCATTTTTCAATGGAAATGGCGAGTCCGTTATCCTCAACTGCCTCACCATCGGGCTTTTTCCGAACCCCGGTAGGGTTAACGGGGATGCCTCCACGGCCATCTCATTATTCAGCATGTCAATCACCTTCTGAACGATGTTTATGTCGTCGGAATTTTGGTAGTGGCCTTGGCGGTGGTGGTTATAGTGGTGGCTTTTGCGCCTTGTGTGGTACGAGGGATAAACAGGGCTGTTGCTGCAGCTGAACTCGTACTCTTGTGGAGAGATGAAGGAGAAGCGTACGTCGTCCGACCGACAACTCAAGGCGGAGTGGTGGTGGAGCTTGAGGTTGCCGGCGGCAATCTTGCCGCGTTTCAGCATCATGTGAAGATCAGCCATTAGTTTGCTCTTTGATATGCCTTTCCTCAACATGTAGAACAGTACCCGTACTATGTTCCACATTTTTTTGGCTATAACTGGTGTACTTGGTTCCATCTCCATGTCTAGACAGAGAGAGAGAGAAAGCGAGTGTCGTTATATTTGAGAGTGAGAGAGAGAGAGTTCTTTGTATGTTGTGTGAGTCTGTGTGTGTGTGTGTGAGAGAGAGAGAGAGAGAGAGAGAGAGAGAGAAAGTTCTTTTGTATGTTGAGTGAGAGGGATATTTACTGCTTTGGTATATATGTTGAGAGAGAAGGGAGAGAGTTCTTTGGAATGTTGTGAGGGGGGGAGAGAGAGAGAGAGAGAGAGAGAGGAGGAGGAGGAGGAGGAGGAGAGAGAGAGAGAGAGAGACTTGTTTACTTCTCTGGTATGTTGCGAGAGAAGACAGAGATGAGAGAGCCATATATATAGGTCCGTATAAGAAAGGAGGCAGCCACAAAAACAAATATTGTAAAATATAAATAATATGAATGTTATAATCACTCTCGGTGGTAGAGCGTGGTTACAGTCTCGGGTCAAAAGATAGTGCACTGCCCAATAAAGGAGTTCAAAACTGGCAACCATGTCAATGCTTTTTAGACTTCAAATTTTCTAAAGTTTATTATAAAAGTGGTGATTGATTTTCACGCGTTTAGATCACGTATGGGGTTGGCCATAAATGTGGTCGGAATTTTCTTTGATTGATATTTTTGTTTTTGCTTTATTTAGAATTTTGTTTTTAATGGTAATTACTGGAAGGCCCCTTTAATTATAATAAAATAGCATATTCGTTCCGTCTTCAATGATTAAAGATATTTAGGGTACGTTGTCTTCAATGCCAAAGTTAGCCTCTTGCCTTGGACATTAAGGTAAGGACCAATGAAAGAGAACACACTAGCTTGTGACTTGAATATTGTACTAGTTACATCGTTTTAGTTAAATATTTATAATATATACTAATTATATATATATATATATATGTGCATGTATAATTAGTGGACGACTTAATTCCATTTCTTTTATTAAGTACAGTAATTAATTAAAGTGATATGTATAAAAATAAGGGGAAAAAAGGAACTGAATATATAATATTTTTTTCAGTAATTAATTTTGTGGTGGCCAAGAAGTGAATAGCTTAATGGAGCTTAGGATTTACTCTCAAATAAAAATGGTCTTCTTTTGTTGCCTCTGGAATAGTATCTTGATGTTCAAAAATGAACACAGAGCAATCGAGAATATTCATGATTCATCGTTCAAGTACTAGACGTACATTTACACACACAGTATATATACTATATATATATATATATATATATATATAATGTAGTATATAATAGCTAGAGTTGTACGTGAAAGTTCATTAATTATAGTATATGTTGAAGTTCTCCAATGTACAGTGGAATAATTAAGTAGTTCATGCGGCTCCACCGTTGTTGGTGAGAGATCGTTGCGTGCCAGCCTGACTAAGTTGGCGGGAATGAATAGCAACACCTACTCAGAAAGACATGTGGCATTTCTATTGAGAATTAGAATGAGAGATTCATAACAATTACTGATTCTCTTTTTCGATTCTGTTTTTTTGGGAACAATTACTGATTCAAGTAACAATAATTGGCGGCTGTTATACATGAGTAAATCCTAACCCTAATATATCATCGGAAACATTTTACAAGGAAAAAGAGTATATTTGCCCTATTGAATTTTTTTTTTTTACAAAATTACTTATAAATCTTGTTAAATTTTAAAATGTTTTTACTTTATAAAAATGCCTCCACTCAATTTCTAATAATACACTATTATATATGATTATTATTATTCAAGGCTCTCCTCTTTCTTACAATTCTCTGAATTTGTTAGTGCTGGTTTCTAATTATTATTATTCAAAACCGTCCTCTTTCTCACAATTCTCTGAATTTGTCCGTGCTGATTTATCTATCAAAATCGCTCATGTTATCTATTGAAATCGGTCGGACATAACATTACTCAATTGCAATTTACATGCTTTTCAGCGAGTCTTAGAAGTTAGCAGCCTATAAGCATATCCATACACACACAAACTCACACACACACACACACACACATACATACATATATACATACATATGTATATATATGTGTGTGTGTGTGTGAGATTATTACAGCTTCATAAGCATATCCATTGGTACATGAAATTAATAGTAATGATAATTTGGACAAATAAATAATATTTTTTCATGCCTACGTCCATTAACATTTTGGTAAACTTTAATGTTAAAAAAAATCATAACTTTGACTTCATCAAATAAGAAATATGAGTCCGTATGACCATCTCTTCGTAATGATTATACCAACATATAATTATATACTTCTTATTATATGCATAAACGCGCATATGCCAGTGGGAAGCTGAGGCGAAGGAGTGGAGAGCAAATGGAACGTTTTGGTCGGTAAGCTCCTTCTGCGTCCCTTCTCATCAAGTTCAAATAGTATAAACAAGAAAAAGGGGAGCTAGACAGCTAGCAGGTGTTTTAATTACTTAGTATAATGGGAGCTCTACAATTTTTTATTTTTACTTTGATTAATGAAGATTTCTTTATCTATTACTCTGTATTTAACTATGGAATTTTTTTTCTTTTTCTTTTTCAATGGAAATAGAATATATATTTATATTTTGACACCCTTATCAGACTTTCCAACTCTGACACTAAAGGTGTAGCCCATTTGTGTATATATATATATATTTTTGAAAAGTACCATTTTCTTTTTCCTTTCAAGGTAAAAGATAGAAAGACAGAGTTAAAAAATATATATATAATAATTGTGAGTCGCAATTTTAAAAATAGAAGATTTATTTTAAGACGGTAATTTTTATTTTTTGTTTTCTTGATTCAATTATATAAAAGTTCGGTTTGCAGTTGTAGTGTGATCTGCCTCTTGGATCGATGGAAATGAAATAGTGAAATCTAGATCCCTCTTCTCTCAACCTTCTCTCTAAGGAAGAATGAATTGATGTTACAATCTAAATTAAATTCTTCTCTCTCTCTCTCCATTTGTGAAATATAATTAGTGAAAATGATAGGACAAGCCGCCTTGCTGCCCAATTGATATATAATATATATATATATATGTTCACACGTACAAGCGGAAAATAAAATGGCAAAAAAGTATGTTTATTGGAGATATTGAATTGCTTCTAGAAGCTAACATTTCTAAGGACTAAGGAGCGCTAGTTGTCGAGGCGAAGGGTCCACCATTGTCCCAACTTAACCATTAATCCTGCTTCTTTCCTCAGTTTATGGTATTTGGGGGAAACCTTTATAGGGCAGGTCATTAGCCTCTAATTATATATTTAACTTAAAAACTTTTGTTCCTAACTATTTAAGGTGGATTACATAAAAGATGACTGACATTCTTTTCTAAGTTTATGAATTTTTCTTACATAAATAATGTTTTGGTATATTCGATCCGCACATAATAAGATATATACATAATCAGATAGTCCCTCTTTTTAAAGTACATATTTTATAATTATATATATATAGAGAGGCAGAATTGAAATCTTCTTTTAGAAATTTTTATGTTCATCTATGCATGTAGCGATCCCACCACATGTATTCTGTAAATGCAAAAATCATTGGTAGAAAACTTTGATTTGACTGAAGTATTGAGTTCATATAGTATAGTCTTTATTTGAATTAATGATTGTCACATCCTTATAGTTTCTAGGTTTTCAATTTAATTTCTTCGTTAACTTCTTGTCGTTTGGTCCTAAGCATATACTTGAGGGAGGTCGATCTAGTGGGGTCGATTGATCATCCCACTCATATATTGAAGAAATATTGAGCATTGTATCCTTAAATTTGAGGGTCTAGTACTGCAATTGATTCTTGCGAATCTTTCGAAATATAAATAATAAAAACGTAAAAAGTGGGGGATTAAAAAATATTACTCCGTAATAGGGTGCGTGATATTTCTAAGAATATATAGAAAATTTTTAAAGTTAACACTTTATGGTTTTTTGTTTTGCTTTCATTAATCTACTTTTTTTTTTTTCATTAATTTGGGCTTGAGTTTCTTATGCTCATAAGTTCATAACTTAACTTCAAATTATCTGCAAATCGTGATTTAAGAGAGAGAAAGAGGTAAAAGAAGAAGGGAAAATGAAAATGAAAATGAATTATGCTTTAATTTTTTTTTTTTTTTTTTTCATGAAATATGTATCATGTATTTATTTGCATACTTTAAGTAGATAAATGTTTACATATTAAATGTTAGACGAGAAATGACTGTGTAACCAAATGGAAAGTAGATTAATGAATCCATTACGTGGTTTCACACATTGATGATGTACTTAATTAATGACATTAACAATGAAATTGGGATTAATAAGGATTAAAATAAAGAGATAGAGGGGATTATTGGGCCAAAGATTGAGAGAGATTGAAAGAGCATGTTAACGTCAACCAAATAATCTTGTTCCCCTTTTTTAATCCTTCTCTATCTAGACCCTTGGAAGATATGGGATGTGGCAGAAGATGGAATTAATTAACACCGAGTTACTATGATTTAAAATATGATACATAGAGAGTCCGAGTTGATATTTATAGATATTTACGTTTTCAATATTGAAATTCAATTTTTATTGTCTTTCTAAAAAAAACTCCGACACTCTCTATCTATCACTAAAATATCACAAGTCATAGTTAAGCAGATTAACAAAGTCATCTTCTATTGGGACACACACACTAGGACACACACACTATAAAAATGGGGCCTTTCAAGTTTGTTGTAGAGAGTCACAATAAATGGAGATGGTAATAGAAAAATTTTAATGAAATAATAAAAAATTAAAAAAAAATAAAGAAATAATTCAGCTGATCTGATCTCCAATTGGTGGATTTCCTTTTCCTTAATAAAGTAAACTGAAAAACATAAAGTCATAAAGAGAAGTAATCAATCCCATCAACATCAGTAGGGCCTCTGATGTTCACACCTTTTGAATAATTCATGTGAGAGGGTTGGCTTTTTGGCCTTTGCTTTAATATATAAGAAATTAAAAAATGATAATAATAAGTATATTTAATTTTGAACTTTGTTCTATGTTGAATCTGGTATGTATATATGAAGCAGTGAACTTTGAAATGCTTTTAATTGGGGATTGGACTTTGGGAGTATCCTAAGTTAATAAAACAAAACCTAATTAATATATTACTTCTCGCTATCCTTAGTCCATACATAATATATGTTTTTGAGTGTGTATATACACAGTTACATACCAATCCACACATATATAACAGTGTTCATTTAACTCTCACAATCAACCATTTTATAGACCATTTTAACCTTCATAATTCTCAGATATTAGCATGATATATTGGATTCTTGTGTGTTAGAATCCAACAAGAATCCAATATATCATGATAATATTATTGAATTAATTAATTAAATTATATTTTTCTCAATCAACCTATTCGCTATACTCTAGGATGATTTGTAAATTTTAAATCAAGCTATTCGCTATACTCTAGAATGATTTGTAAATTTTAAATATGACACACGCATTATAATAAATTCATATATTTTTGCAACTTATAAAAATCGAATTTCTGTATTCACCTACAAAATGAATTTACTTGAGTTTGAAATTAATTAATAGATAATTCAATTGACAAGATGGGAGTATATTAGGAGAGTTTGTCCTATATAGGATTCAGATGAAAAAATGATTAGGTATGCAGCACTACCCAATAACTTAAATTTTTGGGTAAATGGGTAAGCGTCCTCTCGTTTCAGTTGTTATCAAAGTCAGATTCAATCCTTAATCCGGTGTCACTCCAAGCGCCCGATCCGGAAGACGTACGGATTTTCTTCCCGGATAGAAAGGGTGACTCGAGCCGCAATGAGGGCGTTGCGAGTTCGGGTGGGAGAGAATGTTACAGGGGGGAGTTTGTTCTATATCGGATTCAGATGAATAAATAATTGGGTATAAATGGGTGGGTATGTAACATTACTCAATAGTTTAAGCTTTTGGGTAAATGAGTCATCCACATGTTTTAGTTGTTATCAGAGGTATACTCAGTTCTTAATCCGGTGTCACTCTAAGCGTTTGGGTTATCTTTCTGGATAGTCAGAGTGGCCCGAGAAGCAATAAAGTGTTGCAATTTTAAGTAAAAAAGAATGTTATAAGAAAGAGTTTGTTTCACATCGAATCCAAATAAAAAAATAATTAGATATAAATGAGTAGGTAAGCCTACCTGTGTTTCAAAGTCCGATTGAAGATGAGGTTAAACCCAAAATAAAGGGTGCCAACGTGGCAAAAAAACCATTGTTTATGGTCTCAAAGTGGAAGAAGAAGAAGAAAAATAAGGAGCAAAGAAGGACACGAAAATTAAATAAGAAAGCAAGTGGGAAATGAGTTCCTTCGCATTGGGGAATAGCAATGAATGCAAGCGTGTCCACTCAGAACCACTCGTAACCATCCATCCAACCACTTTTGATGATTTTTCTTCTGCAAATTATTTGAGATATTTAAGTCCTGAAATTATTGGTGCTCCGCCCAAAGACCTATACTTAGAACCTTTCTCTTCATGTCATTTTCATTTTCATTTTCATTTTCCATGAGTTTTCTTGATAAACTTCACACTTAATTAACCCACCTTCTTATCGTCTTGAACAACTTTAAATCCAAGAGCTTTAAGGCTTTTCAATCTCAATCATTTTTATATTTATTTGTTTTTGCTTTAAACATTCCCTAGTTGCCATCTGGCACAAGTGCGGTAACAATGGTTTGACTTTTATCTCGTGCAAATGAGTGGAGGATCTTGATCGTAACTTTTGTCAAAGACAAAATTCTCCCCACATTGTTTTAACGCTTTTAAATAGACAATACAAGAATTATATAAAGTTAAATTGACAATACAAAAATTATATAAAGTTGTTATAATTTCAATTTAATGATGTTGGAATATCATACGTTGTTGAGTATTAAAAGGGTGTTATATCACTGTTACATATGTGATCTTAATGTTATTGAGTTGAATTAAGTTACTTTGTTCTTCCTATCTTAATCAAAGATTCATTCAACATAATGTGTAAAATACTCCCATGTTGTTAAAAAAAAAAAAAAAAAAAAAAACTTATTTTTTTTTTTAAAAAAATTGAGCAAATAAAGATATTTTGTCAATTTGAACACTGAAATACCTAAAATGTCCTTAAGACAAAAGAAGAAAAAAAAAATGATTATTAAGGGTATTTTGAGGTTTTAATAAATTAAAACTTGGTTAAAATTGACCAGAGCAATTTGCACATATTTTTAAATATTGAAGATTTATATGCACATATTAAATAGACTGACCCTTTTTTTTTTTTTTTTACCACTTTACCCAACTACGTTTTACAAAATAAGATCCTTGCCCAAAAAAAAAAAATCATTTCTTGGCATAATTATAAGCTTGATTTTTAAAGTACATATTAGCTTGGTCTTGGGTTGGGTTAGATACGATCTCAACCCAAGCTGAGCAAGTCCTTAAGTTGGGTTGGACTTTGTAAGCCCAAGCCCATCCTTACCACTAAATACGCACAAGGTTTCAGATCAAATAGTTTGATCTGGATTAATATTGGGCCAATCAACCCCAACCCAAGTGACTGAAGGCCCAAACATTACATCAATGTGATGTTACAATGCATACGATCATCATCATTTCAGCTCAGCAAAATACGACCAGTAGGTGGAAGTTGGGCCTTCTCATCCAATTCATTTATTGGTCCATCTAAGCTAGGGCTCTTCCTAGCATCGGTAAATTAAGTGTTGCTTGAACGTGGCAATAGTTTATTGGCTTGCACGATTAAATGTCAACGGTCTCAGCAACTCAAGTTACTATTTTCCACTCCCTAACTTCGATGAAGCCGTTTCTGAAGGCGGCACTGACGGCAATAAAACACTTGAAATCTCCAAATAGCCCTCAACACCTCATTTTATTTACTGAACATCCTTACCGTAAGTTCTCACACAGAGATTGTTCAGTAGGGCTATTTTGGGGATTTGGCAAAAGAATAACCGCTGCTTTGAACTTCTCAAACTTCTCTGAACATTCAACGTCTATACACTTTCTCAATCGAAAGAAAAGAAAAGAAAATAAAAGAGAGAGAAAGGAAAGGAAAGGAAAGAAAATTTAGAGTTTAAAGCTCAAACTCGTCTTTGTTTTAGGGTTTCTCGGCGAGCGATCTGAGTTGCTCTCCGTTTGGTTTCTCGGAAAAGGTGGGTTCCACTCTACTGTTTCTTCTTTGTATATATTGATTCTTATTTGAATATGTGATTTATATGCTTATTGTATCTAGTATTACTAAGAAGTTCATCGCTTGGGCTTTTAGAATCTTGACTTCTTTTGTAAACTGAGTTGACTTTTATGTACCAATCTTGGGTCTGATATCGTTCATCATCACTTCACTCTGTTTGGTGGTTGAGAAAATGATGGAAAAGGTAAGAAATTGAAATCTTGAAGATTATATTTCCTGATTCCACGTAGTGAAAATGATGAAGAGTGTGAAATGGTTGTTTTAGTATCAGTTGGGTGGAGTTGGTCACTTTCTCATGTGTCACAACTCACAAGCAATGAAAAATTCACTATTCAAAATGTTAATTTGTTCTAACTGCCTACATTTTCTCGGGAAACAAACAGAGTGGTTGTTTATTGTCATGATTTCTTTACACACTTCAGTTACAACACATTGAGAGAAAGGAAAAGGAAAGAAAACAAAAGGAAATTAGAATTCTTTCATTTGGTTGGTTGACCAAACCAATTGAGGGGATGGTGGATTAATTTTCGTGAACCAATTTAGCTTCCTGAGAGTTTTTATTTTCTCTTTTTTTTCCCACCCACTGATAACAAAAATGTCAGACTTTGCTCTGTGCCACTTGATTCCTTGATCTTTTTTAATCATGTACAGGTTAAAGGATGTATAGAGAAATTATTTCTTCTTATATATGCTTAGTTCCTTTCATGTTAAAAATGAAAAAAACGATAAAAAAGAGAAACGATAATGAAAATTATAGGAAATTCTTTCATAGCGAAAATGAAAGTTTCTTTTCTGCTGCAAAATCTTTTCACCTATAGCTAATTTCCATGGAAACTAAAGATGCTGTTGTTCAATTAGCTTTGCCATTTTGGTTCTTTTTCATTTCTGTGAGTTATTTCCACTTTTGATGCTAGCAGTGGAACTTATCTCACCATTATAATTGTTACATGTTTAAACATATTTATTAAAAGATTCTGTAATTAATCATTAAAATCCCTGTGAATGAATTTTTTAAACCTGTGTATATTCCAGTCATGACAGTATTTTTTTTCTTAATCTCAATTTGCTTTGCATGTTAGGTCCCCTTAGTCAAATACTATGAATGATAATTTAAATGATTTTTCTTCTGTTCAGTTTTTTCTTGTGAATTAGGAAGTCCAAGGGACACAGATTGCGATGAATTGCCAATCTAATGCCCGAAACCAGCGAGCCAAAGGTTTTAAGGTTAAGCATGCTGTTCAGTTTGTGTTACTATTGGCTTGTTGTATCTGGTTGGCTTACCAGATCAAGCAATCTCATGATCAAAGAAGGGACAATGGTGCCAGCATGCAAAGCAAGCTTAGTGAAAAACATGGAGCTATGGCGTTGGGGCGTAAAGGGAATGCAGGCTGGTCAAGCAGTGGAGGTGAGTCAGACTCGGAAAATGTAGTAGACCTGGTGAAAGGTTTTGAAAAGAAAGAAGAAGGGGGTGTGGGAGACGATGAGTTGGATAGAAATGTTGAAGAGAGGGCTGAAACACATATAGAGGAACCACAGAATGCTGAGAAGAATCTCAGTACTCTAATACAAGACGAAGATGAAGCAGTTGAGAAGAATGATGAGGATAAAGGCCCTTCAAAGATTGAAGAGAAGAATTTAGTGCCACCGGGTGGAAGTTTTAACACCTCTTTTCCCATTCAGCATGAAATCGAAGATGACATTCATGGCTTTAACGATGAGAATGGGATTCCACAAGATGGTAGTGGTGTCATAATAGAGTCAATTCCTACATGGGCAACTGGTGATCATAAGAACATTTTAAGCCGGCAAATTATCTCAAGTTCGGATAATCAAAGTGGAATCATTGAAAGCATAACATCTGAAAGAGAAATAGTTGAAACTAAAGAAGGAATCAGTTCTGCTGATGCTGAAACTGAAAATAGGTCCATACTAGAAGAATCAGAAAATGAAGAACCCACTAATGCTAAAATTGATGCGGAGACTAGTGTTGCTTCAGGCATTGATCATCCTTCGGAACAGGTACAAGAAAAAAGTATTGTTTCAGAAGATTCACATTCTGTTTCTTCTCAAGAAGAACTAGAGGATGTTACTGATAATAGCATGTTTCCGCAAGCTGAATAGAAAAGCAAAAACAGAGATTCCTTCCAATGGAGTATCAAAGCACAAGAATCAGTTCTTTGTTTCCTTCTCCTATAGATTGTACACTCTCATCTCAGTTAGTCATTTCTACTTTTGGTCCACCTTAAATTTGGAATTTTCTTTGGTGGGATTTTAATGTACGGACTATAGGTGTACATTTTCATACAGAATTTCAGATATACAATCTCATACAGAAGAATAGCATTTTCCCCCTTTACAATCTTCACGCCTTGTGTTGGTCTTATTTCACATGAGTTTGCCATCTAGTAAAGAGCAGAAACATTTTGAACATTTTCCCAAGATCATTTCTTAATTCTTACTACTTATTGCAGTCAGTTGATTATATGTATGATGATATTCTTCTTTTGATCTCATAATTCGTGTTGCTTAATAGAATTGTTGATAATCTAAGTTGTTCTTTTGACATGTTGATTCTAGACAGTGTGTTCTATACTTTGTTGAAGACATCATACATTCCACTCCACAATCAGTAGTATTAAGTTGCTGAAATTGGAGGTCACGCAGACACCACCAAGAACTTCATGTTTACCATGAATTGCTCTAGAAGTTGGAGGGGTAACTAATTTACTTGCAACTTTATATGAGATTAACACTGTAACATGTAATCATGTATTCGAATTCTTTCCCCTTCATGGAAATTGTTCTCCATTACAACGAGTGTTAGTCATGACAGTATAAGAATGTTCCCCCACAACATTAAGAAGTGAGAAACATGGTAACTAAAACATTTTTTATTTTTAAATACTCATGTCCAATATATACAGGTGAAGACAGGCATCATATTTCTTAACGTAACAGAATGCGCAAGAAGGGAAGCATGGATTGAAAGCCATGATGATTTTAAATGAAATAATGGTGAAAGAAATCCTTCATTACGATAAATAAATAAACTTCTTTGATAAGAGGTACACAATTGGATGGTGTTAAAAGGATAAGAATGAACACATAATAATTGAAATGTCATAGACAAAATTGAAAAAGACCTGTGTTTCAATCTGATCTTGTTGCCAGACTATAACCAGGAATTTTAGCAAGTCTTATATTTTTCATAATCCCTCTTATCTTCTCAACCTCATCCCACAAACCATTAGCGGCATATATATTGGACAGGACCACATAAACCCCATCATTCCAAGGTTCCAATTCTTGCAAATTCTTTGCCACCCACTCCCCCATCTTTACATTTTCATATTTCTCACAGGCCCCCATCAAACACCCCCAAATAACTATGTTTGGTTTCATCGGCATCCTCTCCACCATTTCTCTGGCCTCCTCAAGCAACCCCGCCCGCCCAAGTAGATCCACCATGCACCCATAATGCTGCAACTTGGGTATCATCCCGTAATCATTCTTCATCATGTTAAAATAATATCTTCCATCTTGCACTGTCCCGCCATGCACACATGCACTCAAGACCCCAACAAAAGTCACAAGGTTAGGCCTCACGCCTGCCTCTCTCATGCAACGAAAACATTCAAATGCATCATTCACATGCCCATGCATGGCATAGCCCACGATCATGGATGTCCACGACGAAACATTCTGCTGGATCATCCTCGAAAACACCCTATAAGCCAAGTCCATCCGGCCACATTTACCATACATGTCTATAAGTGAATTCAACATCAAAATGTCCGATTTCTCCATGTTTTTTGCTTGGAAGACGCATTTATGCAACTGAAGAGCCAAGTCCAAATCTCCTAAACTCCCACAAGCCGACGTCACACTTACCATAGTCACACCATCAGGCTCAAACCCACTTTTCTTCAACTCCATGAACATGCCAATAGCTTCCTTAGCACGCCCACCCTGTGACAAACCTCCTATCATGGCATTCCAAGAACCCAACTTTCTATGAAGATTTTGTTCGAACACTTTGCGTGCATTGTCAAATTCGCCCGCTTTAGCATACAAACTAATGAAACCGCTTTCAGTGAACTCACTCGAATCAAGACAATTCTTTATCGCTCTGGAATGAATTTGCCCACCCAATTCAGCATGAAACGCTTGGCTTATGGCCTTCAAGACAATGGGAAATGTGTAAGAATCGGGCATGACACCAGCTCGAGACATGGCAATGTATATACATAGAGCCTTGGAAGGTGAATTAAGCCTAGTGTATGATCTTATAATGTTGTTCCAGTGAAATGGATCAGTGTACAAATCTAGCATGCGGGTTCGGATGATATGGGCATATATTTGATTCAGTTCTACTAAGTTTGTACAATTTGACAATTGGGTTGCTATGATTTTGGCTTGATCTTGGGTGGAATTGAGAGAGCTTGTTGGAGAGTGAGCATTGGGATGGGGAACTTGAGGTGTGATATTTGTTGCAGAGGTGTGATTGAGATGGTAAAAAATGGTGAGGTGTTTGGGCTGTTTGATTCTAGAAATCCTGAGCATGAGATGAAGATGTGAGGTCATGCGTTGTGGGATGGACCAAGTGGTGCGAGGAGTGAGAGATTTGGTACAAATTAAAACATGACAAAAGTGATATATGGTCATTCGTTAGGGCAAGGGGTAGAGCCACATCAGTCCATTTGGCTAAGAGGTTTGGCCAGCTTTATGTGGATTCTCCATTTTAGAAGAGAAAAAAGATAGGTATAAATAAAGTGGAGGCCACACTTTTTTAGTATTGTCGTTACTATTAGGCTTCGCTACATTTTTTTTTTTTACAAGTGTTGTACGATCACAAATATAAATAAATAAATAAATAATAACGGTGATATCAAATCAACTTAACAAATTATTGTCAGGATTAATCTAAATTTATTTAAAAATTAGATATTTTTTTATTAAATTGACAAGTTTGTGAGTCTTAAGACTGGAAGGGTATAATTAAATTTTTTAAAATTGGGATGGTTTGAATTGAATTGAATTGAAATGAAATGTGGAGTCATAAATTGTCACCTGTCTATGTTTTTGTAACGAGCCACTCCATCACATGGTATGATATTGTCCGCTTTGGGTCTGAGCTCGCACGATTTTGCTCTTGAACTTTATCCCAAAAGGCCTCATACCAATTGGAGATGACACATTTATATATAAGCACTTCACCTTTCCTCTACCCAGGAAATGTGGGACTGTGTACCCGTAACTTGTCAATGTGGTAGCATGTCAATGTCTCTCGCACCCACCCACGACACACCTGCTCACAAGGTCATTACAATCCACTCCCTTGGAGGCTCGATGTCCTCGTCGGCATACTTCTGGTTGGATCAGACTCTGATACCATTTGTAACGACCCACTCTACCACATGATATGATATTGTTCGTTTTGAGCCTGAGCACTCACGGTTTTGCCCTAAGGCTTTACCCCAAAAGGCCTCAAACCAATTGGACGTGACATACTTACATATAAGCACTTCACCTTTCCTCTACCCAGGCGATGTGGGACTTGTGCACCCGTAGCTCGCCAGTGTGGTAGCCTGTCAGTATCTCTCGCACCCGCCCACGACACACCCGCCCACAAGGTCATCACAATCCACCCCCCTTGGAGGCCCGACGTCCCCGTCGGCACACTTCCGGCTAGGTCAGGCTCTGATACCATTTGTAACGACTCACTCCACTACATGATATGATATTGTCCGCTTTGGGCCTGACCCAGCCGGAAGTGTGCCGACGGGGACGTCGGGCCTCCAAAAGGGGTGGATTGTGATGACCTTGTGGGCGGGTGTGCCGTGGGAGGGTGCGAGAGACACTTTCAGGCTACCACACTGGCGAGCTACGGGTGCACAGTCCTACATCGCCTGGATAGAGGAAAGGTGAAGTGCTTATATGTAAGTGTGTCATCTTCAATTGGTATGAGGCCTTTTGGGGTGAAGCCCAAGAGCAAAACCGTGCGGGCTCAGGCCCAAAGCGAACAATATCATACCATGTGGTGGAGTGGGTCGTTACAAATGGTATCAGAGCCTGACCCAGCCGGAAGTGTGCCGATGGGGACGTCGGGCCTCCAAGGGGGGTGGATTGTGATGACCTTGTAGGCGGGTGTGTTGTGGGCGGGTGCGAGAGACACTGTCAGGCTACCACACTGGCGAGTCACGGATGCACAAGTCCCACATCGCCTGGGTAGAGGAAAGGTGAAGTGCTTATATGTAAATGTGTCATCTCCAATTGGTATAAGGCCTTTTGGAGTGAGGCCTTTTGGGGTGAAGTCCAAAAGCAAAACCGTGCGGGCTCCGGCCCAAAGCGGACAATATCATACCATTTGGTGGAGTAGGTCGTTACAAATGGTATCAGAGCCTGACCTAGCCGGAAGTGTGCCGACGGGGACGTCGGGCCTCCAAGGGGGGTGGATTGTGATGACCTTGTGGGCGGGTGCGAGAGACACTGTCAGGCTACCACACTGGCGAGTTACGGGTGCACAAGTCCCACATCGCCTGGGTAGAGGAAATGTGAAGTGCTTATATGTAAGTGTGTCATCTCCAATTGGTATGAGGCCTTTTGGGGTGAAGCCCAATAGCAAAACCGTGCGGGCTCAGACCCAAAGCGGACAATATCATACCATATGGTGGAGTGGGTCGTTACAAATGGTATCAGAACTTGACCCAGCCGAAAGTGTGCCGACGGGGACGTCGGGCCTCCAAAAGAGGTGGATTGTGATGACCTTGTGGGCGGGTGTGCCGTGAGCGGGTACGAGAGACACTGTCAGGCTACCATACTAGCGAGCTACGGGTGCACAGTCCCATATCGCTTGGATAGAGGAAAGGTGAAGTACTTATATGTAAGTGTGTCATCTTCAATTGGTATGAGGCCTTTTGGGGTGAAGCCCAAGAGCAAAACCGTGCGGGCTCAGGCCCAAAGCGGACAATATCGTACCATGTGGTGGAGTGGGTTGTTACAAATGATATCAGAGCCTGACCCAGCCGGAAGTATGCCGACGGGGACGTCGGGCTTCCAAGGGGGGTGGATTGTGATGACCTTGTGGGCAGGTGCATCGTGGGCGGGTGCGAGAGACACTGACAGACTACCACATTGGCAAACTACGGGTGCACAGTCCCAAATCGCCTGGGTAGAGGAAAGGTGAAGTGCTTATATGTAAATGTGTCATCTTCAATTGGTATAAGGCTTTTTGGGGTGAGGCCTTTTGGGATGAAGTACAAAAGCAAAACCGTGCGGGCTCCTGCCCAAAGCGGACAATATCATACCATGTGGTAGAGTAGGTCGTTACAAATTGTATCAGAGCCTGACCCAGCCGGAAGTGTGCCGATGGGGACGTCGGGCCTCCAAGGGGGGTAAATTGTGATGACCTTGTGAGCGGGTGTGCCGTGGGCGGGTGCGGAAACACTGTCAGGCTACCACACTGGCGAGTTACAGGTGCACAAGTCCCACATCGCTTGGGTAGAGGAAATGTGAAGTGATTATATGTAAGTGTGTCATCTCCAATTAGTATGAGGCCTTTTGGGGTGAAATCCAAGAGCAAAACCGTGCGGGCTCAGGCCTAAAGCGGACAATATCATACCATGTGGTGGAGTGGGTTGTTACAAATGGTATTAGAGTTTGACCCAGGCAGAAGTATACCGACGGGGACGTCGGGCTTCCAAGGGGGGTGGATTGTGATGACCTTGTGGGCGGGTGCGTCGTGGGCGGGTGCAAGAGACACTGACAGACTACCACATTGGCAAGCTACGGGTGCACAGTCCCACATCACCTGGGTAGAGAAAAGGTGAAGTGCTTATATGTAAATGTGTCATCTCCAATTGGTATAAGGCCTTTTGGGTGAGGCCTTTTGGGGTGAAGTCCAAAAGCAAAACCGTGCGGGCTCCGGCCCAAAGCGGACAATATCATACTATGTGGTGGAGTAGGTCGTTACAAATGGTATCAGAGCCTGACCCAGCCGGAAGTGTGCCGATGGGGACGTCGGGCCTCTAAGGGGGGTGGATTGTGATGACCTTGTGGGCGGGTGTGCCGTGGGCGGGTGCGAGAAACACTGTTAGGCTACCACACTGGCGAGTTACGGGTGCACAAGTCTCACATCGCTTGGGTAGAGGAAAGGTGAAGTACTTATATGTAAGTGTGTCATCTTCAATTTGCATGAGGCCTTTTGGGGTGAAGCCCAAGAGCAAAACCGTGCGGGCTCAGGCTCAAAGTGGACAATATCATACCATGTGGTGGAGTTGGTTGTTACAAATGGTATCAGAGCCTGACCCAGCCGGAAGTATGCCGACGGGGACGTCGGGCTTCCAAGGGGGGTGGATTGTGATGACCTTGTGGGCGGGTGCGTCATGGGCGGGTGCGAGAGACACTGACAGACTACCACATTGGCAAGCTACGGGTGCACAGTCCCACATCGCCTGGGTAGAGGAAAGGTGAAGTGCTTATATGTAAATGTGTCATCTCCAATTGGTATAAGGCCTTTTGGGGTAAAGTCCAAAAGCAAAACCGTGCGGGCTCCGGCCCAAAGCGGACAATATCATACCATGTGGTGGAGTAGGTCGTTACAAATAGTATCAGAGCTTGACCCAGCCGGAAGTGTGCCGACGGGGATGTCGGGCCTCCAAGGGGGGTGGATTATGATGACCTTGTGGGTGGGTGCGAGGGACACTGTCAGGCTACCACACTGGCGAGCTACGAGTGCACAAGTCCCACATCGCCTGGGTAGAGGAAATGTGAAGTGCTTATATGTAAGTGTGTCATCTCCAATTGGTATTAGGCCTTTTAGAGTGAAACCCAAGAGCAAAACCGTGCGGGCTCAGGCCCAAAGCGGACAATATCATACCATGTGGTGGAGTGGGTCATTACAAATGGTATCAAAGCCTGACCCAGCCGGAAGTGTGCCGACAGGGACGTCGGGCCTCCAAAAGGGGTTGATTGTGATGACCTTGTGGGCGGGTGTACCGTGGGCGGGTGCGAGAGACACTGTCAGGCTACCATACTAGCGAGCTGCGGGTGCACAGTCCCATATCGCTTGGATAGAGGAAAGGTGAAGTACTTATATGTAAATATGTCATCTTCAATTGGTATAAGACCTTTTGAGGTGAAGCCCAAGAGCAAAACCGTGCGGGTTCAGGCCCAAAGCGGACAATATCGTACCATGTGGTGGAGTGGGTTGTTACAAATGGTATCAGAGCCTGACCCAGCCGGAAGTATGCTGATGACGGCCGTTCTAATACGCCAAACTGAATGTAGTGAATGTGTGGTTCAAGAAAAGCCTTTTATGTCAAATTTAAATTTATAAAAACTACTACCAACACTACTACTAACGTAGCAAGAGTGAGTAAGTATCGTCCCAAGGGATTATACGTGTTGGAATTTCAACTTCGACTCTAGCGTACCAAATGATTGCAAAAGAGAATTGGGTTGGTTGATTACTTCTAGAAAAGAATTAATTAAAATGCAATAAGATAAAGAGTAAGTAAGAAGGAAATGTCTTGGGGTGTAGAGATCACCACCAAACAATACTATTCCAAACCATAATCAAGTGACTAATGAGGGAAATGAATGTGTTGCAACAATGTTATGTGTGTAAAAGACATTCAATTGGTAAGGGTGACTCAACAAGTGCAAATTGTCTCAATCAACATGTGTGAGGCCACAATACATCTATTGGTAGAGGAATATATTGTCTAGACATCATGTGAAGAGAATAAAATATCAAA